TCAAGAACGCAATTACACTTTGCCAGAATTTATCTTCGCGCCAATCCCCAAATTGCCACCAATTTTCCACCTCTCGATACCTTTAAAAACATTCCACCTGCCAAGGGTGTTAAAATAGCAACAGCATCCTTACGCTACCAATAAAATTTTGAATCTACATGATTTTAACGTATCCTACTCCAGACCTCAACTGTAGCGAGCAGTTGCATTTATACAGTTTCTGTGAATCAGAACTTTGAAACTCCCCAAAACAACCAAAAAATCCCCGGGCTTTCTTAAAGCATTACACAATCAAGCCTACTTATTCAACACCTATTGATCTTCAGAAGAAACAAGCTCTTATCGCATCCAACACCAACTTTTTAAAAGCAACCAGACGTTTATAAATTATTGTCACAAAAGCACGGCTTCAACACAAAAACAAACCACTGTAACGGCAGCATCCAGCGGCGATAGAGGCAACAAGAACACAGTTTCATGGAGTACTAAGACTGTTCGTAAGCGATAAGAAAATTTAATTAAGAGAACGAAGAACATACAATAAACCGAGAGGAACCACCCGCAATATGATGACACGAGAAAAACACTAATATCTTCTCAAGATCTTAATAATTACATGGAACCGATAGATTACAATCTAGACCTGCATACCAGAAAGCTTAAATGCTACCGTAAAAAACCATTATGCCAATATTGAATCAATATCATCATAAAACAAAAGCCTCTATCTTTCTCGGCACTTGATCATGCAATACCTCCCAGTGTCTGACAAACAATTACCTCCCACACTCCTAGTACGCATAACAATACATTTAACATTTTTGAAATTCACAAGACAAATTAAACTGTTCAAAATGTAAATCTAAAAATCATTATTCAGAAGAATGAGAATAAAACGTGCACCCACTCAAATGAAAACTTTTCGTATTCACAAAACATAAAAGACTGGCAAAACTTGCTATCGCCAACTTTGAGTACAGGAGGAAAAAAAAAGAACTGAACTAAACCGAAGTACGCAAAAATATCAGATCTGCAAGCGGTTCTCATCCATTTGGTCTTCCTCAAATGACCAGTCTTCCCGTAATTCTACGCTAATACAAGCGAAAAGGTAATCCCACGACCAAGGCACTGCCTCCTCTTTCACTTCTTCTTCTGAACACATAAATCTTGAAAGAAGAAACAGATCTGAAAAAAATCACTGGAATAATAGAGCGAATTTGCAATCAATGATAAAAAGCAGCTATGACGTCCGAACACAAAATTAACGCTTCTATACTTCGGCCCTGGTACGCTAAGAAACTAACGTACACTCAAACTAGGAAGAAAACGTATCGTTAAAACGTTAACCCAAATCATATAAAGTGCGAAGCAGGAAGAAAATTAGAAAGCTAGCTACACCACTCAACTCAGTAGAAACTTTTCGACTTCGGCATGACCAGAAAGTGATTCATATTTCAGTAAAAAATTTAACTGGAGAAAACAGTGAAAGCAATAATTCTGAAGAGTGAAAATACTCTTCAAAAAAGAGAAAAAAAAAAAAACGAGGTGGCGACACTATGGTGTTATCAGTAACGCTAAAAACACCTTAACAGCAGAAACTGTAGAAGCAGCAGACAATAATGATAACTATTCAAGACCAATCCAGTCTGCATTTTCGAAAAACTTTGCACTACGAATTCTAAAAAAACTTTTGAAAATTTTTTTACAAACTTCTTACTTCCAAAACAGTACTGACAAACCCGAAAACGAATTTAAAAACAATAAAAAAGAAGAAAAGAAACAGCATGAGACATAAGAACTAACCAGTATCGTCGATTTTAGACATCCAAGCATTTTTCGGATTCACTGCATCAATGCTTAATGGTACTGCAGGTGTAGGCTCCGACAAACGGAACTTGTCCAAATTTTGAATTTCATCCTAAAAACGACCAATAATTTACGAAAAATAAATTTGGACTTAACGAGGAAAAGATTTCCACAAAATTAACCCATCTCACACGATCACATCGAAAGCATGCTTCTGTGCGAAACGAAAAAAGCCACAGAATAAACACACCAAAGTGGCACAACGAACTACTTTTCTACTCCAGTATACTTTCAGTATTCTCAAATGGTTGACAGATATCAAAAAAGAAAAAAACGAAAAGAATAAACGTTCTTCACAATGTCAAGTGCCATAACACAGAAGTGAAAAGAACAGGTAATCTACCTTCCGACCTCCATTTATTTCTGCCAAATTACTTTTTTCGTCAACTGCAACACTTTCACTTTCTACCAAAGAAACTAAAAAAGAAAAAAAAAACTACAAAAATGAGAGCACAGTAACATTAGTGTCCTCGGAACCGAGCTTGACACTTCATATTTCGAGCATTGCCTGAAAGACATTTAAAAGCAGAAATTTTTTAGTGACCGTAAAAAGCAGATTGTTCGTTCGATACTACAGCTGTCCGATCTAGATCAAGGTTCTTCGACACTGTATCATCTTTAGCGTTCTTTCGACCTCCCCGTGAGCTGGTTCGCCTCAAGAGCCCTAAAATCACAATACTGCAGAAATCTATTTCCACTTTTTCAAGTTGCACAAATCTTAATAAGAACCCACAATAAAATTCATAATACACACAACTATAACAAAAAAAATTGTTTAAAAAAACCTGTAAGCGGCCGTTTAAGGGACTCCTTTATCCCGTAGGCGGATTTTTGCAAATTCGTTGTCGGATCGGATATCAAAATCCCGAGTCGGCCTTTAATATCACCATCAGACATCCTGTCCTTCGGTCTCGGCTCCGACATTTTGCAACTTCTGAAACAGCATTCTACTGCCACATATAAATGATAAGCAACCGGGCCGTAGAAACGTTAACCAAAAGTCTTTAACAATCCGTAACCGTTAAAGGAGGAAGAATTAAACCGCGCGAGCAAGCACACAAATATATATCAAAACGTATCAAAAATCAGGCCGACAACAAAAAAAAAAAATTCCGTACGAAAGTGACACCATTCACTCAACTGTCATAACTCAAATCCTTTTAAAAATAAATAAAAACTGATAGAACAGTGTGAAATTTATGATTCCTGACTAATGCAAAGCAGAGTCCCACTAATTAAAAAAAGCGCAACGACACAAGACGACACCATTTTAACAATCGCAGTTCACACAGAACGCAACAAGGTGGAAAGCATCTATTAAAGATACTTAATCTTATCGCTAAACTGTACCAGAAAAACATAAAAATTAAATGCGCCAAGAAATCGATATGACTACCGCAAAATACTTCACTGAGTGAGAACCTGAAATTAGTTCTTCGAACTCCCATACCAAATGAACGCTAAAAGCCTTCACCTTCCTCAGTATCTACACTAAATACTTCGAAAAATATATTAAAGATTTGAGACAAATCTATTTGAAGGACACTTTTACGGTCTCTGAAGTAGCCGAAAATAGATCCTCACAAATGCTTAACAGAAAGACGTTTTATTTCAAAGTCCCTCTTTCCATCACAAAAGCAACAAACCTAAATGAATGCCTCGCTTTGAAATCGGAAACCTTTGATCGCTGCCCAAAAAACATTAAACTGACTCTATAACACCCGCATAAAACTGAAAAATCTGTATCACCTCTTTGATTTACACCCAATAATTTTTTACCAAAAAAAGTGAAGTATCCACTCCTTCCTAGAAAATTACAACAACAAAAAATAGTCTGAAAAAACTAATTTACTTCGTCAATAAAAAAAAAAAAAAAAACACCATACAGTAAGAGAAAAATCGTAAAGGCCAAGAAAGCGGTGAAAACGACACGAATACCAGGAAATATAAAAAGAATTAATTAAAACTAAACTGTTTCTTCTTTTACATATCAGATTAACATTCAATTCAGTGTCAAAAAAACAGAAAGTAACTGTCAATTAACTGCTGAAAAGAACAGCTACATTAGACACTGTAATCATTTCATTAACTTGAACCGTACGCGTCAAGTACTGAATATTGTGAAGATACCAATCTAACCCCCTTTTTTAACGACTTCTAAGCCCATCGTACCGAGTTATCTACGTAGAATAAGTTTAGATTAAAAACAGCAGCAATTGCGTGAAACAGTTCAAACTATATATCAATTTTTCTGCAACTTCGCACTGACTTGATGGTTCTGCTCACAAACGGTGCAACAGTAAACACATTTTCTAATGACATTCAGCTGGTTCAGAATGTACAAATGCCAAAGATAAAAGGCATTCAAAACGCAGAGACTTTTCAAAACAATTTTGTTTCCAAAACTGACGATGTCCTGATTAAACACATAAAGGATGATATGGAATACTAAGGAAGCCAAAATAAAAGCACATTTTTAGAATGATGTAATAACAGAACTGCAGAGGCTCCTATCAGCTTTTCAGATAGCAAGATGAAGACTCTCTGATGACAATCCCAATCGTTTCCCTAATGCTGTTCTTGCAAACTACCTAGGATTAGGTGAATGTCAACAGAAGATGGATAAAGAAATGTAGTGACAATTTCAAAGAGAAGTTTTCTAATCTTGTGTCAGTGAAAAGCAACCTTACAGCGCATAAACTTTTAACCCGGATATATATCAATCCGAGACAGCACCATCTCAGAACAACGAAATCTGAAGCCGTAGAATACGGTGATAAATTATTGTTAAAACAGCAAATAAACAATACATTTAAAACCCAAAGCGAAAAATTCTTGTTTTTATCTGGAGAAACAGCCAGAATCCAATACCGCTACAACAGTAACCTAATAAGTGGTTCAGGAGTCCTGTTGCAAAATCAATCACCAGTAATGGCAAAAAGTGTGGCACCATATACAAAAAGATAAAGGCATGAAATCAATGTTCGTTTGAATAAATTAGTACGAAACTGACAAACTACAGTAAATAAAAACTCCAGCGCGAAAAAGTTCCATGAAGTGAACTGTGAATTCATTTCTGCATGCTTCTTACTCTAAATCATCCATAGTTCTCAATGACAAAAACAAAGATTACTACTACGACCACCCGTCTACTTCAAATAATGACCAATCTGAAAGCAAACCTTTACAAAAACAGGACCTGCCATGCTGACAACTTACTCTTTTTCAGAAATAGAAAGATTTTTTTGTTTAACTCAAAAATCTTACAAAAAGTAACTAAGTTTTAGCAAAATTAAAGAGAAATTTTGACATATAATAAGACTCATCATACTGTTGAATATTTAAACATAAAACGATCACTGAACGAAGTAAAATAGATTAGTTACTAGAGTAGCGTTATATGCTGGCTTTAAACAGCTTCCTCAGCAACAAAAAAATCCAAAGAATACACTTGCAAAGCAAATTAGAGTTGAGAATTGCAAAGAAATTAATAACAACCTTCCTCAGTAGAACCTCCAAAGACGGCACGAAACGACATATAAAAAATACTAGGAACTACAGAACAAACATTTGGCAAACAAGATTATTAAAGGTGCAGAAGAGGGAAAAAGCAAAAACATTAAATACGACCAAAAAATTCTTTTTACAGAGCCAAATAGCAGCTGCCGCTAATAAAAATAGCAACTAATCTATATTAGTCTCAGACAATCGACTACTCTTCTCAAATAAGCATCAATTCCGTTGAACTTTTTAGAAATTACAAATTCACAAGGTAATACGATCAACGGCAATGTAACTAACTTAAACTATTTTATTCTCGGTGAAATCTTAAGAAAAAAAAAACTAAAAAACGCTTTTAGTTACGTTTACATTCCCTGGTCTGACTACCAATGAACTATTCACTGCACATCTTTATGAAACAGTAAGCGATTCAGTTACAACTTATTTACAATAAACAGTCTTCACATTATTTCTGGTTAATTTCATTTCAACAGCCCTGTTTTAGTTTTTTCCTTCCTATTAAACTGAAACAAACTGCTCGCTGCATAAATTTTTCTCCATCAAAATTTGGTCGAATGTCTGTCTATTTTTCTCTTACTACAAAATCAGCTTTGGTGAAAGTAGAATTAGACGAATACGAAATCAATGAATAAACAGTGAAAATTTTTTGTGAAAAAATAAAAACACAGTTTTCTGCCCAATGTATTTTGCTCTTACTGGCGGTAAATTTGTCAAAAATAGGCCAACTGTTACAGGAGAAAAAAAAAAAAAAAATTGCTAGACAATATTCAGTTTTCTAACTTGTTACACACTTACTGACCCAACAAAGTAGACCTGTTCAAAAGTTCCGCTGCCGGAAGCAACGGTTCGTCAAAGTAAGAGTCGAATGGTTTCCCACATGAAGTTCTGAACCTTGATGCTGAACACGACAAACTAGAATGGTGGAACGTCAAAGACAATATGTTACGTGCATATATGATTTAGGAAATTTACTCATCGCTAATATTTCTCTCCGCAAGCATTCAAAAGTAAGAAAACTGGTAAAAGTGAATAAAGTTACTAGTGAGTAATAAGAGGGCGAAAAAGAGTAGAAAGCAAAAAATCCTACGCAAAAAAGAAAAAAAAGCCTCAGCTTAATCATCACTGAAGTAACGTTATCAAAACTGTCAACATAAGTGAAGAAGTTTAATGATAATAAATATAATTATAATGAGAAATGATAAGAAAGTTACCGACTACTTCCGCCCGTGTTCTGCTTCCTTTTAAAACAGTACAACAGCAATCTGTGTATTTAAACGATAGTTGTTTAGAAGGAATGCTCTACTGTTTAGAAACATTAGAAACAGATGGTTTGAAAAAGAATAAAAAAGAGAAGGAAAAGAAAAACAAAACCAGCAGAAACAGAAACAAAAAAAAAAAAAAAAAAAAAAAAAAAAAA